CTCCATCCTCTTCATCTACTCACGCCCAAGTTCCAGCTACGCTTTGGAGAGAGACAAAGTTGTGTCTGTCTTCTATACAGTTGTGATCCCTATGATAAATCCTCTCATCTATAGTCTCAGGAATGAGGAGGTAAAGAAAGCTCTGAAGAAGAAAGCAATGAAATAGAAGATGGCCTAAGTGAATATGAATGAGAGCATGCGTTTGTACTTTATTACCCTGAAAATATTAATATGGTTTAGGTCTACACTTACATGTAGATTTATTCCCAGAACATCCTTTGCAAAATGTGTCTGTAGGAACTATTCCTTCTACATTAATTGCCTTTTCTTTTCTCTTCTTTTCTTTTCTTTTCTTCATTGTTTTCAAGCAAGCTTTTCTCACAGAAAACAATCCTACACATTTCTTTCCTATTCTAACATTCAGAGAGTTCTGACTTATATAAAGTCTTACTGGATAATCCAAGTGTGGCAGAAGTAGAAGAATTGTTTACATCTCCTTCCCACTGCAATCCCAGCCATTTCTCAGCACCAGTGTTGACAACATGCTAATTCAACAGTAAGTTAAGGGGTCAGGAGCACTCTGGATTTATATCTTCTCCTGCCCCAATTCTCTGCCCCATTCCCAGCTTGCCTTTTTATTATCTTCTGAGAAGGGAGAAAAGAGACTCAGAAGCTCTTATCAGGAAGTCTCTAATTTCCTGTCCATCACTCCCTTTTTAAACTCAGAAGTACACACACACGCTTATTTCTATGATCCTTTTCCTTTCTCCAGTTGTATAATTCAATGACCTTTGTAATTCAGTTTTGGGGACCAAAGAAACACAAGATGTTTGTATGCTTGCAATTATAACAATTTGAAAATGAAGGCTACATTAAATGTATTTTGAATAGACTAAGTTAAAAAGGAGGCATCTTATCTCTTCACAGTTACAAATTCAAATTTTTAGTTAGGTCTATTAAAAGGGGTGCAAAAATCTGGATGATGTTTAAATGGCAGCAAAGAGATATGGAAAACTCTAACTATGCTGCCATCAAATGGTATCGTGGATAGGGAGACATGAAGGAGTGAAAAGAAAACTTAAATCTGTCAGTCCAATCTGAACCTGTCAGTCTAGATAGTGGGCAGACACATTGGAGCCCAAGAAAATCAAATAATGAAGAACCAATCAGGAGCAAGAAAATTTGCCTTTTGGAGGGGGGAGGATTTAGGCTTTAAAAAGAGAATGGAAAAACTCAAATTTGTTTTTTGCTGTTGTTGTTGTTGTTAATTCTTCCCAGACAGGCTTCAGACAGGTAAGGAACGTGACCCATCCTGGTGGAGGAGAATCAGCAGCAATCTAGGAAATGGCGGAGTTAGAAGTAGAATGGGATTTATTTTATAGGCTGATCTGTACCATTCTAATTCATTCTATTTTGTTCTTCCTGTATTCTGTATGGATGTGGGTGTATTCTTGGCTGGAAAGACTGTTGAGTTAAAGCCTATAGAAGTCATGCCATGTTCCTCTCTCCCTTTCTCTTAATGCTTTTCAATTCCCATACACCTTCTTAATCTTGATATACATAGTAAAAGACTTGTACTTTTTTTCCTGAATCAGCACTCTCATTCTAACAGAGAATTTAACCAATCACATGTCCTGGCTGCTCTGCTAAGCTACCAAAAAAAAAAAGCGGGGGGATGGGGTGGCAGCGGAGTCAAGGAAGAGGTTTTCCACTTTTTTTTACTGAACAGAAGTGACTGACTCACCATGGAATGAAGTGGATGGTAGCAAGCATCTGCCAAGTAGGATCTCCCCAGGACTATGAGGGGGTGCAGAAGGAATTGGGGGGAAGGGCTCAGCCCCCCTCCCTTGAGATAGACAGAGTGGTTGATTCTCCGTTTCCCAGGTGCGCATGTGCAATAAGAGGAAGAGGGCTGTTATTACAAGTGGTTCTCCCAATTTTTGCAGCCCAGTTACAGTACCCTTGATTAATCCAAAGCAGCAAATCGGTGAACTTAAAAGGGCTGTGTGGACACAATCTTTGCACCAAGCACACTGTCTTCTCCGACAACCCTTGCAATGCTGGCCGCCACAGTAGTGAGGCTTGGTGGGAATGTGAATAGGTTAAGCAATTCTAATCAGTAAAGCTAAGAGCTTCACAGAGTTTCCATGTGCTGGTTTTTCTCAAGTTCTCCATTCCTGCATAAGCTCCAATATGTAACGTCAGCATGCAAAGAAAGGGTGAATCTAACACACGGTTGCCCATGTCAATGGAGGTCTTCAAGAACACTCCTTCCCCATTCTGCTTTCCCAGCAACTGGGGACAAGCTGCTTCTGGAATATACAAGCAACAGGGCAGCAGAATACGGGTTCCCGGGGATATCCCAATCTTACAGAGATGGTAGGCAGAGGCATACGTCTTTCTAGTCAGACCCATGCAATCGTAAGAGGATCTTGCAAAGGTGGATTTATGGATGTGGTTTGGGGCCTTGGTGCTTTACTTGCATTTCATCGTGTCATGCAGAGAGTGAGAAAGAAGGCTTTGATGAGACCTCCAGGGCCACTTGATCGTCTCATTTGTACACACACTTAGGACACACAGAAACAAGCACAGTTTTACAAAGGTTAGTATTCTATAATAAAAGCTTTATATCCCTAGTATCTCTCACTGATACTCATCTTTATATGGGTTTGCTGCCAGGCTGGGTTTGAATTCCAGGAGAGTTAAGGTGGGAACCCCACAGTGTGTAGTTCATCAGTCTGGGTGATGTTTCCAAAGTAATACAGTTCCCACCCGCTTTGATAACTTTCCATAAAGACTGGCCAGGTCCGGCTTGGGCCTCTCCTCATCTTCCTTGGTACATTTCTGCTGTGCTCCCCAGTTCAGCCAGGTTACCATCTCTTGTGGTCTTTCCTTACAGGCAGCTAATCTGGAATTTTTCTACATGCTGTTTAAACAGACATCGATCACCCAAAAACAAAACAAAACAACAAAAAACCCTTCTGCATCAATAGACCGCTTTGAGTCAGTCTCAGGTACTCCGTCTTTAATATATGACCATTCATATTTTCAACATAATACATGACACAAAATACGTGATAAATACAGGAAACAAACACCTACAGATCAATATATGCAGTCACTGAATAATAACACTGGGAACAAGTCCATGGATGAAATACCTGTGTGATCTAAGGTAAGATATATATGTCCATCTGTACACCCATCTGAGTCATATTGATTAGTTTAAATGTATGTCAGCTTCTCAAATGTAGAATAAAACTTTCAAGGAGACTTATTAACGAAACATCTAAAAGTTGCAATGCTGTTCCTCTTTCTTTTAATGAGAATTAATAGAAAGTGTCTAAGATCAGAACTACTTAGGGAATACCAGGGTTTCCCCATAGAAATCCATTCTCTTGCACAGACCGAAAGACAGCCGAGGAAATGTTGTGACCAAGTTATTAAGACCTAGAGCCCACCTGGAGCTGGAATATATCCGGATTTCTTCCCACACACAGAATATCCTAATTCACTTCACAGAGAAGTAAACCACCTACCACCAGAAAAGAAGGAATGCTTTAAAGCATTGTAGACGTGGTTGAGTTCAGAGTAATTAGGTAAGTTCAGACTGTTTGGAGACTTTTTGGTTTTATCAGAATAGTGTGAGAATTTTAAAACTGTTCTGTATTAATGATGGAGAGGCCTTTCTTTATACACATGTAAGGTTTTCAACCTAGATTCTAAGAAGCAAATAAGACTCTAGACCGAGGCTTTTCAAGGTAAAAATCTTCAGCTTTATTGTTGGCCAAGAGTAAAGCAGGGTGGGGGGGTCTCTCATCTCCATGGCAGTTGGAGGTTGTAGAGAGTACCACACCCAAGTGGGGGGCAGCAAGGTTTTTATACATTCCCTCCCAAGGCAAAAGAAATACAATGCTTGTAATACGATGTTTTTGCCCTATTTGGGCATTTCTTTGTTTCAACCTTGGCTGACATACCCCTCACCGTATCTCACAGGGCGAGCTTTTTAAACACTACGTGATCTGAGGCTTTTCATTAAATGGCATTAAGCAATTTACAGAAGCAAAATGGTGTTTATTAAAAAAACTTAAAGCAACTTTCTTACATCCCTTCACACACAATTCTAACAGCAACTACTGATAAACCATTGTCCGATGTCCTACATTCTGGGATGATTGGGAAGAGGACTACTTTTCTTAAACACATGCAGATTTCTCTTCTCAAACTTTAAGCATTCCCAGTTTTCTCTTCCCAGGAACTAATTTTTAGTCTTCCTTCCAAAATCTTATTTTCGGTCACAAAATGCCTTCCTGTCTTTTACTGCATATAGTTTGATTGTCCTTCAGTAATAATAATGAAGAAAAAATAATGTTATAAAAGATCAGCAGAATACTGATACCATATGAACAAGGCTTTTCATTCTTGGCCCATGCATTCTTCCAGCATATCAGTTTCAATGACTGTACCTTTGGTCAAGTACAGGATCAAGAACTCTACTTTGCAGGAATGTTACATTGTATGCTATCATCCTTCTCCTGCGTAAACCTTGGGTGATAAGTCTTAGGCTGCATTTTAATCTGGTTCAATTTTATTTTGATTGAAATCATAACCCATTTCTTACCATGAATATCTTATTTTTCTTTACATCTTCCACTAAGTCAGATACCATATAATACTGATTACTGCATTCTTTCAGTTTCCACAGCATACTCTGATTCAATGGAAAAGAGCACACGGGTGACAGAATTCATTCTCAGTGGGTTGACCGATGACCCACAGTTGCAGCTCATCCTTATACATTATTTCTGAGAAATAATCCCACCTCATTTTCCTCAAACTTCTCCCAGTATTCAGACACAGCGCCATGGCGTTGGGTGTGTGGGTGTGTGGGATTCAGTGATTCTTAAGGTTTTGTTACTCTATTTGTACTTGAAATGTTTAAGAGAACATATAATATTGATTACTGTATTCTTTCAATTTCCACAGCGTATTATGATTCAATGGGAAACAACACACGGGTGACAGAATTCATTCTCAGTGGGATGACTGATGATCCACAGTTGCAGCTGATCCTCTTTGTGATATTTTTTGCTGTTTATGCCATCACCCTGGTGGGGAATGTGGGCATGATTGTCTTAATCAGGATCAATCCTCAACTCCACACACCAATGTACTTTTTCCTCACCAACTTATCCTTCTTGGATATCTGCTATTCATCATCTGTCACCCCAAAGTTCCTATGCCACCTTTTAAAAGAGAAAAAAGTTATTTCATTTACAGGTTGTTTTACTCAACTTTACTTTTATGGTCTATTTAGCACCACAGAGTGTTATCTCCTAGCTATGATGGCCTATGACCGCTATGTGGCCATCTGTCACCCTCTACTTTACTTGGTCACCATGTCCCAAAGAAAATGTGTTCAGCTAGTAGTAGTTTCCTACACTGTTGGGATTCTACATGCCTTAGTGCATATAATTCCTGCATCTCAGTTGTACTATTGTGGACCAAATATCATTAACAATTTCTTCTGTGAAGGTCCTGCCATATTACAACTTGCCTGTTCAGATATCAGTTTCAATTATCTGTTGATATTCATATTTATTGGCTTCATTTTAATAACAACAAGTTTGATTGTTCTCACATCTTACACTTATATCCTGATCACCATTTTAAAAATCTACTCTGCCAAGAGTCGTGAGAAAGTCTTCTCGACATGTACATCTCATCTCATGGTCATCACTATTTTCTATGGAGGTGCCAGCTTTGTGTATGCACAACCAGGATCTAGCCAGTCTCACCACCTAAACCAAATAGCTTCTGTGTTGTATGTAGCACTGATCCCCATGGTCAATCCCTTGATCTACAGCCTGAGGAACCGGGAGGTAAGGATTGCCTTCAAAAAAATTCTGGAAAAAATAGTTGCATTCCTTTTTATACCAAAAACTGAATACCCTTAGAACTACAGTCAAATATAGAAATATAGAGGCAAATATTCATGCATTAATAGTGTGGTTATCTGACACATTTCTACCTGGAAGGCTGCCTGACTGAATTTGTCTTGCTCTCAGTTAAAGGAGTATTGGGACTGAGCCCAGAGATCTTGTGACAGCAAAATCAATTTTCATATTTAAAAAGGCCCCCATAATATTGTATTTTTCCTAAAACCAATTAATAGGATCTAATTGCTAAATGTTAATGATGTAACTTCAGTAGGATACCTTGGGGGGGATGGGTCTTATATATATAATAGTATATTATATAAAAACCTGCAATATGGTAAGAATGATAAGGCATAAAGGGGTCACAAAAGCAACATGGGATTCTTATGTAGCAGAAGATTGCACAACAGGGGTGTATTCAGATATCACACTAAGTAAAAACAAACATGACCAAAAAAAAAATGTGTTCAGCTAGTAGTGATTTCCTACACTGCTGGGGTTCTACAGGCTTTGGTGGATATAATTCCTGATATTGTACATGCTTTAGTGCATATCATTCCTGCATCTCAGTTGTCTTACTGTGGCCCAGATACTTACTGGAACTCATCTGTTCAGATATCAGTTTCAATTATCTGTTGATATTTATATTTATTGGCCTGACTTTGGTAATAACAAGTCTGCCCCTTCTCACTTCCTACATTTATATCCTGATCACCATTTTAAAGATTTGCTCTGCCAAGGTTTGAGGGAAAGCCTTCTCCACTTGTACATCTCACCTCACGGTCATTACTATTTTCTATGGATCTGCTAGTCTTATGTATGTACAACAAAGTACTAGACATACTCACCACCTAGACCATGTGGCTTCTGTATTCTGCGTAGTGATGACCCTCATGGCCAATCCCTTGATCTACCACCCGAGGAACCAGGAAATAAGGATTGCTTTCAGGAAAATCTT